TTTATATAATATTACTTTACATTAAATAAAGAACTCTATATTAATTTTCTATAGTAATAGTTGTTTTATTATTTGAATGAATCATCATGTAAAATATTTAAGTTTTGGTATCTTTTAAAGCTTTTTTTCTAACAAAAAGTTACTGCACATTGTAAACTATTGCTGTTTTGCAGAAGCAGATCTGAGGTGTGTTTTAGCAGTGTTGTGACTGTCCCTGGAAGTCCAGCAGTGCACAGAGACGGCAGTGTTTGACTGAAGAACACACACACGTAATGCAGCACAGACACAGAGCTGTGTGTTTGTTGAAGAGGAGAGTCATTATGATGAGTGAGAGACGCATCACACTGTACACAATCACTAACTGCAGTCTGCAAGACTACAGCTCAATCTCACAATCATCTACTTACATTTTATCCCAGAAACAAAAGAATGAATTTAATTTTATGGTCCCACTCTCTGGTTCTGATAAAATCGATTATATTAGAAAGGCAATCAGCTTATCCAATCAGCCGAAGTTGTGTCGAAGTCAGACAGGTTCAGGCGGTATATTCTGCCGCCCTAGAGGCGGCTATAACTGAGGCGCGGGTGGTGAGGGTAGTTTAGGGGACGCCACCCTCTCTATTCTGCTGCGATAGACGCGGATATAACTGAGGCGCGGGTGGCGAGGGTAGTTTCGGGGAAGCCGCTCTCTATATTCTGCCACCCTAGACGTGGATATAATTGTGGGCGCGGGTGGCGAGGATAGTTTCGGGAAGCCGCTCTCTCTATTCTGCCATCCTGGACGCAAATGAGGGCGCGGATGGCGAGGGTAGTTTCGGGGACGCCGCCCTCTCTATTCTGCCACCCTAGGTGGCTGCCTAGGTCGCCTCTATGGGAGCGCCGGCCCTGATCACAGGTCATAAAGATTTGTACAGACCTACTATTTCAGACAAAATCTTTAAGTATCGCTGTAAAACAGCCGAGAGGAGAGGAAGAATTATGAGATAAATAATGTCAGTACATAATAACCGGTTATAATTATTATTATTAGTATGATAAACTGATCCCAGATCCCAGCTGTACACGCCATTTAAAGTGACACCTCTGTTATCAAAAAACAAGTGAAAAGCAGCAAATGAATCTCTCGTTTTGTTTTGTTTGATAACAGAGGGGTCACTTACCACTGAAAAATAACAAAAGCATACTTTAACCGTTTGTGCTCATTTAAGAGGAAATTAGTTGTGTTTGAAATAAAACACACAGGACGTCCGGCATGTTTATATATTAAGTGTATTTGTCTGTTTAAACACACCCAAATCCCAAATTGTTCTGCACTTTAGCTGCTCTTTAAATGGCGTGTACAGCTGATCTGGAAGTGAAATGTTTGCCGAAACTTCGAAAAAAAAACATATTTGCGAGATAACACAAAACAACTTTGCGAGGGAACGCAAAAACTTTCAAAAATATGTTTACCTATCACTCTGTTTTTTTTTCTTCCACCCATTTTTTTTCTCCACCGTCTCGTCTCTTCCGGGTCTCCGTACTAAATGACCTAGGACTTCACTACATTAAAGATATGCTCACTGAATACAAACCAAACAGATCACTCAGATCTTTAGGATCATATAAACTGGAAATTCCAAGAGTTCAGTCAAAGCAGGGTGAATCTGCCTTCAGCTACTAACAGCGCCCCCTACTGCAGGAATCAGCTTCCAAAAAAAATCAGATGTGCTCCAACCTTGGGGACATTCAAATCAAGACTGAAAACGCATCTGTTTAGGTGTGCCTTTACTGAATGAGCACTGTGCTACGTCCCACAGATCACACTATTATGTCTTTCTTTTCTTTTTCATTCTTTTATAACCTGTCAAACACATTTGAATCCGTTTTTATCTTTTTTATAATTGTTTTTTTTTCTTTTCTTCTTGTTTATGTAAAGCACTTCGAATAACAATTGTGTATAAAATGTGCTATAGAAATAAACTCGCCTTGTCTATATTTAGTGTTTTCTCTGAACAACGTTTACTTTCTGCGGCATGTAAACTCATTCGCTCTCCGTAAATATCACCATAAACGTTACCAAAGCAACCTCAAGGTGGGAACGCCCACTAATGATTTCAATTACCACCCAGAGCGACAGGCAGCTACAAAGTCGCTGCTAGTGTGAATGAGGTATAATACGGGCAATAGCATAATAAGGTGACAGTGTAAAACTATGGAGCAATACTGATAAACAGAAAACACAGAAACAAAAAGCAAGGATTTTTACAGATTCTAATGTGCTCAGTGAAAATGTGAGCAAACCTCTGCCATGCGCTGATCCTCGTCGATTGGCACAAACTTGTCATACATGCCGTGCACCAGCAGTATGGGGACGGTGAGCTCAGCATGATAAACCTCGTCGCCCTCCGGCCAGTACTGACCGCTCATCATCGCTCGCAGCACAAATGGAGACACGTTAAAGGCATTTCCTTCCTTCAGAAGCTGCTTTTCTTTCGCTCCCTGCCTGGCGAAACCAGCCCTGGGGGGATAAACAGAAGAGAAGACACGTTTGTTTATTTGTTCTCCAATGGAAACCTTTTCAACACATTTCTAAACATAATAGTTTTAATAACTCATCTCTAATAACTGATTTATTTTATCTTTGTCATGATGACAGTACAAAGTATTTGACTATATATTTTTCAAGATGCTAGCTTAAAGTGACATTTAAAGGCTTAACTAGGTTAATTAGGCAGGTTAGAGTAATTAGGCAAGGCATTGTTTATTGATGGCTTGTTCTGTAGACCAGCAGTGCCCAACAGGAGGGTCGCGGTCCACAAGGAGGCCTCAGCGAGCTTTGTGGGGGGTCGCGTCATATTAAAAAAAAAAAATCTTAGCAGTGGACAATTAGGAGAATGATTATGTTGTCTTAGTTTATTATCCCCTAGCTCAGTGGTCCGTGGATCAATTGGTACCGGACCGCACAAGAAATCATTAATTATTTCCGTTTTATTTATTATCTGAGTCTGAACGACCTTTTATTTTGAAAAGTCTTTTATTTTGAAAAATGACTGTATTCTCTCGATTATGCCTTGGTCACTGGAGCACCCAAATTTAACCCACAAGCAGCAAAATGAGTAAGAAACAGACGTCTTTGGAAAGTTTCTTTGTTAAGGGAAAAAGGCCCAGTGAACTACTCGCGAATTGCTAAGGAATGGATCTGCAACCCATTTGTCAACAAATCAGGTGAATCCACCATGGCTGTGCAAGAAGATCAACTGATGGAGATTGCAAATGATGGCGGCCTTTTAGGGGGCGTTTGCATATTGCTTATTTCTAGAGTTTGCACAAGTTGTTTCCAATGGAGGTGCACGGCTTGCGCGCACAAGCGGCATGACACGCTCGCACCAATGAACCCTGGGCCAAAAGCGCACCGCGAGTCATGTGACAAGAAATGACCGATCAGCTTCAGCTTGTATGGAATATTCACATTAGGGTAAGACTCATTTTCTCAGACAAACCTAGGACACACAAACACTGCAGCCCTTTGTACTTTTCTCCATAAATAAAACTTGTATCAGAGAGTGACAGCAATAGCCCCTTTCACAGTGATAACGATAAATATGTGGAAAATTTCCTGAACGACTTTACCGGTAAATTCAAAAAAGCGCTGTTCACACAAAAGAGGAGGTTACAGAATTTTTCCGGAAAAGAGTATTCACACATCCATTCCAAAATAGCGGTAAATTTTGACATCATTAACCAAAAATGAGCTCTAAACGGCTGCGCTTGTATTTGTAAACATTTGACTAAATTACAAACTCTGTGGATGGATCAGTGTTGTGAACAACTCCGGTGAAAACACATAGCGAAACACTTTCGCATGTCGATTTGTACATGAAATGTGTGTGTGCTGGCGCTCACGGGCTGTTTCACGGGCACACGCAAAGCTTGAAGGTGAACAAACAACGGCTTATCATAAGCATCTTATCGATAATTATTTACACGGTTGGCATTAAGATGAACATATAAACGTTATCTGACTAACATCTAGCAGCTAAATATGTCTGGTAAAATATTCAAGGGCTTTTATTCTCAAAAACCGCGCGGACGTAAATGTGTCTGACTGTTCTGATTGGCTAAAGCAGGCGTCTCACGTCAGCACGTTCTAGACGAGCACGCGCTCTTTCCTGCAATCTTCCTTCTGCATTCAAACAGCGCTGCATTCCGGCAAATTACCGGTAATGTTACAACTTCTCTTTCCGGAAAATAGCCAGAACGAATTTACCGGTATTTTCAAAAAGGGCCTGTTCACACATACACACCCCTTTCACACATACAGACCTTTCCGGAAAATTACCGGTAATTTTTCGGAAAGGTCTGTATGTGTGAAAGGGGCTAATGTCTTGTCAGTTCGTCATCCACTGAGAAAACGGTTGATGGTCGCATAGCAACCTACGAAATACCCCCAACCTCCCGCAGTAAAATTGTCAAGCGTTGACCGGTACGGTGATAAAAAAGGGTGAGGACCACTGCCTTGGCTGACCAAAAATGGGCAAATATGTAATTCGTCCTCCACAAAAAAGACAGAGTCTCACTGATTCGCCTCGCAGCAATCCTCACACTAATTGATAGAGCATAGCAAATAACATGCAAGTAGTAAACTGTAATAGCCTATAATATTTTTTTCCTGATAAACCTGTGTGAATTTCAATTAGGGTCAATTTAAAGGGCAAAGTTTTACGTTTTCAATTACAAATGGCCTACTGATGTTTTGATTTTATATTTTACATTAGGCTATTATTAATTCATTTTCGTTTCGGCTTAGTCCCTTTATTAAACCGGGGCCGCCACAGCGGAATGAACCGCCAACTTATCCACCACATATTTTACGCAGCGGATGCCCTTCCAGCTGCAACCCATCACTGGGAAATATTAGGCTCTTATTTGTGCATAAACATATCTAGATATAGAAATAAATAGATATAAAACATACCGTTTGTTTGAAAACAACATTTTTTGTCATCATTACTGCAAACATATAAGAGCGATAATATCATTAAATGTGGAGGGGGGCCTTACAATATTTTCCGGGGGAAAAAGGGGTGTCTAAGGCTAAGGTTGGGAACCTCTGCTGTAGACTATTGGAAAAATGTATTGCTTTAGGGTGCTAATAATATTGACTTTAAAATGGTTTAAATATATTTAACAATGCTAGCCAAAATAAATCAAAAAATCATTTTCTCTAGAAGAAAAAATATTATAGGAAATACTGTGAAAAATTCCTTACTCGGTTAAACATCATTTCGGAAAAATTTGATCTAATAATTTTGACTTCATCTGTATATAATAACAAATAATGTGTTATTTTTGCAGGAGTCATCAGAGTAGGTGTGTTATTAGAAGTCTTACTTGAGGAAGCTCCAGGCGAGGCAGGGCGACAGGCAGTGCAGGACACAGGAGGGCAGCTGGAAGATGGAGCACAGACTGGGCTCCAGAGCCGTCGGACCGCCACCGTTGATCATCACCACTTTATGCACCTGCTCCGGATACTCGTGTGCCAGAAACGTACAGAACGACACCCTTCACAGGAACAAGAGAGTGTGTTAAACAGCATCAACAGTAATGAACCCTTTTCACAAGACTGTTATAACTCATTTATATAATAGTCATCAGCATCGTAAATCCTTGAAAGGTTTTAACATTTTAAATTCTTTCATTTTAAAAACGTATGAACATATGTAGGACTTTTGTTGTAGTTAAGCCTTGCATGCTGTTGAGGATGTTTTCATCCCCTTTTTTATGGTGATTTTGAGGCTTAATTTGGCCACAGCTTCCTCTGTGTTTTAGCAAATGGAATTATTTTTGCTGACAAATCTTTTTTTGACATATTTGCAGTAAATACTTTGGAAATGTTCATAAAAATACTTCTGTGCATATTGACTTCCCTTTTGTTATGTTAGTGGCTGTTTTTGCCCCAATGACTTCCATTAGGAGGAAGAGGAGGAGTCTGTTAGGCTTTATTAACTCTCCCTAAACCCTTTTCCAGATCTTTCAGAATGACATGCCTACTTTACTACATCCAATCAGCTCGCAGTAGAAAAAAACAAGCCACGCCCACTACTTTCTCATTTAATATTCAGTTTCTCTAGGAACTGCATCACAATATGAAAAAATATTGCAGCTTTCGATTCATAGATGTTTTCACCCTTGTGTGCTGTTGAGGATGTTTTTTTTTACCACTCTGGCTTGATTTTTGGTGACAAATCGTATTTTGATATATATTTTAAAAAAAGAAATTGGGAATTTTCATGAACTCAACAATACTTCTGTGCATATTGACTACCCTTTTGTTATGTTAGAGGCTGTTTTTGCCCCATTGACTTCAATTAGGAGGAAGAGGAGGAGTCTGTTAGATTGTAATAAGTCTCCACAAACCCTTTTCCAGATCTTTCAGAATGAAATGCCTACTTAACTACAGCCAATCAGCTCGCAGTAGAAAAATAGCCCCGCCCACTATTTTCTCATTTAATATTCAGTTTCTCTAGGAACTGCATCACGATATGAAAAAAAAAAAAAAAATGTCACAGCTTCCAGTTTAAGCATGTTTTCTCCCTTGTGATTTTAGGGATGTTTTTATCCAGTGATTTTGAGTCTTTATTTGGCCACAACTTTCTCTGGGTTTCAGCTAATGGAATGATTTTTGGTGACTAGTCTTATTTTGGCACATATTTTGCAAAAATGCTTTGAAATATTTCAAAAATTCAACAATACACACTGGGCAAATTGACTACATTTTTATTATGTTGGGGGCTGTTTTCACCCCATTGACATTCTTTGATTGTACAGCCATGACAGCATATGATCACGCGTTCTTGATTGTTGGTGGTTGTCCCTGTTGGGAAGAGGTACAATTTTACATCTTCACTGTTGATCATCAGTTGGCAGCATTAACCTTTAGATAGACCTGTTCAAAAAAAAGAAAGTCTTTTAATGTGAAGTTCTGTGGTGTAAAACAGCAGATTATGGTGTGTGTGCATAAATACATGTTTCAAGAGTTCACACTTAGCTATTACCTGATTGCAGGTTTGACATGCTGTCCCGGGAGAGAACCCTAAGCTCGGAGAAACCGCCTGGTCATATAGCATAGACGGTTCTCGAGAGCTCCCCTTGGTAAAGGAGGATGGGGGGGTTCTTTAACAAACAAAATGGGGTATTTACTGAGGGCTAGGATTCACCTGATTGGTTTTAACATTGATTGTGATGTGGGACCAGCCGTGATCAATCATAACACGTGATCCTCTCGAAATGAGTTTATGAAACTTCACTGAGAGGCTTATTTTTATTTTCTCAAACATATCAAGGTATGTGTACACAAGTCACACACAAACACACGCACACACACACACACACACACACACACTATAAACCATATAACCATCTCTTTTTAAGCCAGAAATAAAGCTTTTTTGTACTGTAACTCATGGTAAACAGTAAAAATGACAAACTGTACCTCTTTGCAACAGGGGAAACCACTAAAAATCAAGTATGCATGATTATATGCTGTCATGGCTTTGCAATCAAAAAAATATATGGAACAAAAACAGCCACTAACAAAACGAAAGTAAAGTCAATTTGCCCAGAGTGTATTGTTAATTATTTTTAGTTTTTTTTTTAAAGCATTTTCCTAAAATATGGGTCAAAATAAAATTTATCATCAAAAATCATTCCATTTTCTAAAACACAGAGTACATCGTGGCAAAATTAAGACTCAAAATCACCCCAGAATGGATGAAAACATCCCCAGTCCAACAAAGTCCACATGAATCGAAAACTGTTTTTTTTTTCATATTGTAGTGCAGGTCTTAGAGAAACAGAATATTAAATGAGAAAGCAGTGGGTGTGGCTTGTTTTTCTACTGTGAGCTGATTGGATGTAGTAAAGTAGGCATTTCATTCAGAAAGATCTGGAAAGTGTTTGGGGAGAGTCATCCGCTTGTTAAGTGGTGACGTGTTTGTGACGTATGTAATACTGTTTCCGGGTCCAAGAGTGGAGAAATCATTCGTTTATGATCACATTTTATTCCTATCACACATTAAAGTTAATTTTACATAAAGTCATAGTGTACACAACAATCTCTGGGCTTGCTGCATAACAAATACCAAAAATTTTACAATTTATAAAAAAATTTATCACTTTCTGGCCATCGGATGTTAGGCATGGACATATATACTGGGATCGTGATTTTCGAAAGTATTAAATCGCTTTGTAAACGTTTATTATTACCATTTCATGAGTCTCCCCATTCAGTTGAATAGAGCGCTTGGACCCGGAAGCCGCTTCGCGTGACGTCACACTTAACAAGCGGATTACAACCTAACAGACTCCTCCTGCTCACCATTTCTGTTTGTTGTCAAAACTGACAGCTGCAGGGGCGTGGTTAAGTATGTTAGCCACGCCCAATGCCTCAGACCGACATCATTTTTAGATTTCAATTTTATATTAGGCAAGCAATGTTTTTTTCAAAATGACATGCACAGAGGAATTGTTCACCACAAAACTAGCAATGGTCGCTAACAAAGTCACTATAGTTTTGATTTCATTTGAGCTAAATTGATTTAATTGAGCTGAAGTGTTTACCCGTATGAGTGACCGATGAGGATGTTGCGTTTCCTGGCGTATCTCTTGAATATTGCGCGCAGATCCTCGGCGAGGGCGTAAAATGTGTAGGCCGCAGCAATCTGAGGCGCAGTGCTCGCACCATGTCCTGCCAAATCCGGAGCTATGACCTCATATCCCAACCGCGAGAAGAAATCCAGCTGACTGCCCCAAATGTCCAACGACCCGCCGACGCCGTGAATAAAAAACAGCGCCACGTCCGAATGCGTGCCTTTACAGCTGCTAATGCTGCGTTCAGTGTCGATCAGCACTCTGCGTTTGGGTCTGCGGCGTCTGCGGCGTGGTGGCGGAGCCGGTTTCTGCTGGTCGGACACAGGCAGAGGCGGATTAGTTTTGGGATCTGGAGACGATGGTGCGGTTGTGTAATCCGACAGCTCCACCTCTACAGTACTGCATGGTTCCACATCTCCATTCTGGCACTGGAGGATTTCCGAATGAAGAACGTCGCCCAGGTTCTCGATCACCAACTGTCCGTTGCGATATACTGTGATCTTGCGTTTGCAGTGGATGTTGGGTCCCGGTTCGGGCTGAGTTTCTGTGGGCGCAGGACGTTCTGGAAGGATGTGGCGCACACGGAGCACTCGACCCGGTTTTACCTCCACAAACTGGAAGCCGTCGGAGGGTTTGCCGTCGGAGGATTGGACCGGGAGAACCACACTGCTGGTCTTTCCCCACAGACAGCAGAAGATGCTCTCGGTGATGCTGGTCAACATGACTAGGGGTCTATAACTGGAGATGGAAAAATAAATATTGGATTATTCAAATTGCAGTCATTTGCTCTTAAACCTCACTGTAAAATAAAGTAACTCGACTTAAAATTGTAAGGCAACTCTCTGCAGACTTAACTTTAATCAAGGGTCAAGTGCAGTAATTTTGGTTAAAAGTTGACCAAAGTACAGACTGGATCATTATGCTTCAGAGCTCAGTGTATCAGACGGAGCCCTGGGGATTGATTTGGACTTGATTGAATGTGTTTATTTTTAATCTAAAAATAAAAAAGGGTGACCATTGACTTACATTATATGAATTGCCAAAGGTTCCACAGTTTCAGCATCTTTAATGTTCTACGCTGTAAACATTATGCGTAAATTAGCAGTTTTGTTTATTTTTTTATTTTTTTTCCCCCATTTATTTGTGCTTTTCTATATATTTTACTTTATTTATTTTGTATATCATTTATTTATTATTTTATGTATTTGTTTTATGTATTATTGTTTGTATATTTGTTTTATTTTTTATTTACATCTTTATTTATTACTTATTTATCTTTGTATACTTATTTACATTTTCATTTATTATTTATTTATTTTGGTATATTATTTATTTATAAGACTTCTGAAAACTATTTTTTATTAATCATTTTATTCTTGAAGAAGCTTTTTGAATCCAATTATTAATGCTTTGATATATTCTAATTTATTTATATTATTTAGTTATTATTTGTTTATTTTTGTTTATTTATGTATTAACATTTTTTTATTTATTTATTATTTATTTATTTTTGTATATTTATTTACATTTTTATTTATTTTTATATATTTAAAAATGTATTTATTATTGTATATTTATTTATTTACAGTGTTCTTTATTTATTTATTTTTGTATATTTATTTAACTTTTTTAATTAATTTTTATGAATTATTTTATTCTTCAGGAACATTTTTAAAATCCATGTATTACTGCTTTAATATATTCTAATTTATTATTTTATTTGTTTATATTTCTTTATTATATATATATATATATATATATATATATATATATATATATATATATATATATATATATATATATATATATAAAAATAAAAAAAAAAATAAATAAATAAAAAAATAAAAAAATATATATATATATATATATATATATATATATATATATATATAAAAATATAAATAAATAAATATATATATATATATATATATATATATATATATATATATATATATATATATATATATATATATATATATATATATATATATATATATATATATATATATATATATATTTAAAATATATAATATATATATATATATATATATATATATATCTATATATCTCTATCTCTCTATATATATATATATATATATATATATATATA